GTGTCTCACTGGCTCTGTATATATCTCACTGGCTCTGTATGTGTCTCACTGGCTCTGTATATGTCTCACTGGCTCTGTATGTGTCTCGCTCACTCTGTATGTGTCTCACTGGCTCTGTGTCTCGTTCACTCTGTATGTGTCTCACTCACTCTGTATGTGTTTCGCTCACTCTGTGTCTTCTCACTCTGTATATGTCTCGCTCACTATGTGTGTCTTGCTGGCTCTGTGTGTGTCTCGCTGGCTCTGTGTGTGTCTCGCTGGCTCTGTGTGTGTCTCGCTGGCTCTGTATGTGTCTCGCTGGCTCTGTATGTGTCTCGCTCACTCTGTATGTGTTTCACTGGCTCTGTATGTGTCTCGCTCACTCTGTATGTGTCTCACTGGCTGTGTATGTGTCTCGCTCACTCTGTATGTGTCTCACTGGCTGTGTATGTGTCTCACTGGCTCTGTATGTGTCTCGCTGTGCTCAGAGACAAATCAGAGCTGACTGACTCTCCCAGAAACCACTGTTTACTTTACTAACAGAAGCAGCTGTGCGTTGTATAATAAGTTACTGAGTTTTCCTCGTGGTCTGTCCCAACAACAGCAGATAAAATCAGGTTAATAATTAATGTTCTTTCATGTATTTGTACTGATTGTTGCACATTTTACAACCTCTTTATATTTATTCATGCAGATCTGCTTTAAATTGTTTTGGAAATAATCAAAAAAGACATGAAGAYCATGTTAATATAAAGTTCTGCTTTTCATGTTGTCACGAATGCAGGGTACTGTATGTGTTCTGCAAAAGGTGTCTGTAAAAGAGTTTTAATGATGTCACTTGTATGACAATTTGGAAAAAAATATCAGTTAAAGTACAAAATGTATATTTCTGGTAGTTAAGTTTCACATAAGTTTTAAATTGGTGTCTGTGACTTCTCGACTCTCAGTGCTCTCAGATATAACCTGATGAAACTGAGGTTTGAATTGACACTTGGCCAGGTTCAATAGACCTTCGTGATGCTTTATAATCATAGCAGTCGATCATTTTGATCAATAAGGGAACATTTTACCTTCTTGTTTTTGCACTGAACATCTGTTACACGTCAGCTTGTTTGTGGAATTTGTTTTTATGGAGTTTAAAAAGGATTTGTCATTTGACTGATTCTGTGTTGTAACAAATGGATCGAATTTTTAATATATATGTGATTTGAAGATATTGATCAGATTAATAAAATAGGCTGAAAGCAATTAGATTACATGAAAATAACTTTGTAATTTATCCAGCATGTAATTATGTAACTTTTGATTTGTGATTTCCATGAAACATAAAGCTAACATTGTTCTGATGTGCAGTTAAATATCCTGTGTTGTGTTTATAGCAGCAATAAGAAAAACATGATTGATAAATTAGTTTAAGTAACTAAATAATAAATAATAATAAAGACAATATTTTTATTATTAACTCTTTGCAAACAGGATTTTCAAATGTGACTTTATGTTTAAAATCTGCGTGAGCTGAAGTTTAAATGAGATGGAAGGTAAAATATTAGTGCTGGGAACGCAGCAGACACTTAACGGTAATATTCTTTTTAACGTGCATTAACGTTATTTATATTGTTWTATTTCTCTGTTGGATCTCTGTTCAMTGGGCAGCTAACACACACAGACACACACAAACCCAGTGGTCACCAYGGGGAGGCGGAATCTTGATCAATATTGGCTTTAGATGGCCTTCATCGCACGTCTCAACCAATGAGAGCCTTTGTTGTCGAGCCGTTGCGTGGCAACTCGCAGCCGCTCTCATGAACCCGACTGAGCTGCAGCCGGTGCAGAAACATGGCGGAAGTCACGAGATTCATCAGGGCGGTTTTTATTTTTAAACTTTTCCCAATGAACGGTGGGCTGGAAAGAAGTTAAGTTCTCTGTATGCACCGCAACACTGAAACGTCTTACTACCGGAGCARTTTGAGCCTGAAAYATCACTTCAGTTTAAAACCAGTGTAAACAAACAGGGTGACGTTCTGCAGATGAGGCTAACCATGGAGAGGAARAAAAAAAAAAGAAAATGYAAGACCAGCTTGCTTTGCTTTACTTGTTTAGTTTTTAAAAATGCATTACCCATTTCATAAGAAACAATACCTAAAAATGCTCTAAACATCTTGGAGTCATAGTTAAACTTTGTGCATAAATGAGATTAATCAAGAATTCATATATATATATATTTTTGTCATTCCAAATGAGTACTACACGAGGAATGAAAATAGATACTAAGGTCCCATTTTACAGTTGTCAGCAAAAAAACAAACAAAAAAATGCAGTGTGTCACAGATTGAGTGTATTGCAACATACAAACATACATTCAGCCATAGTAGAGCAATTGTTTCTAATTAAAAATAATTGCGATTAATCACAAAAATATCTTGCGATTAAAAATTTGAATCTATGCCCAGTACTATAAAATATACACTGCTAAAAAAAAGGGAACACTCAAAACATCCTAGATCTGAATCAATGAAATAGTCTCATTGAATACTTTGTTCTGTACAAAGATGAATGTGCTGACAGCTTGTGAAATTGTTTGTTAATCAGCGTTGCTTCCCAAGTGGACAGTTTGGTTTCACAAAAGTTTGATTTACTTGGAGTTAGCGTGTGTTGTTTAAGTGTTCTCTTTATTTTTTTTGAGCAGTATAGATTCAAATGTTGTTGACCAGTTGCTTTTCTCCACTTGGCCTTTATTTGAATGTCCATGTAAACACGAGTCAAACAAACCTGTGGGAAGTAGTTGCTGCAGCAGACTTTATGTGAAAGTATTGTGTTAAAGCAGCCTGGATGTGTGTAACAGGAAAGGGCACACGGAGAGAGGAAACTGCGATCTGAACTGATTTTGTTTTGTTGAACTTCTCCCACCCATGTTGTGTCATTGGCTYATACTCACACACCCTCTGCTCAAAGGTTACAGCCCCAAAACATCCTGAATACTGAAAACTAACTAGGGAGTCAGACAGTCTGTGCAGTGATTTTGTGCAGATGGTTGTAGTTCTGATGGGTCATGTGTCAGTCACAGCCCCACATGTTCCGTTCCTCTGAACCGGCATGATGAATGCTTCCATAAGTGATGCAAAATCACTAAGGCGCTTTTCTTTCCTCCTCTTCTGCAGTGTCCCTAACTCCTGTCCAGCCAGTCCACGCGGGGCAGGGTCGTCCGGGTACCGCTACGGACGCAACGTGACCTCTGACCTCCAGTTAGCCGCTGAATACGCTGCCAAGGCCGTTTCTGAGCAGAGGCGAAGTCTCGCTGAGCAAAGAGGTGGAGGGAGTGAGCAGCGTGTGGAGCCAGTGGGAGGAGACAGCCCAAAGGTGAGTGAAGTGCTATTTTAGTCTTCATTTCCTCACTTAAATATTTTCATTCTAACCAGCTTTTTGTTTGCTTGTGTATTTATGATTGTCCTTTCTGTCCAGGATGAATCCAAACCTCCGTATTCCTATGCACAGCTGATAGTCCAGGCTATTTCTTCAGCTCCAGACAAGCAGCTGACTCTCAGTGGGATTTATGCCCACATCACCAAACACTACCCCTACTATCGCACTGCAGACAAGGGCTGGCAGGTACAGCACAGGCCTCCTGTCTGAAAGCAGTTTAATTCCTCTGTTCTCTTTATTTGGACGAGTTTTACAGGTGACTTAAATGTTTTGTTTTTTCTTCCCGCAGAACTCAATCAGACACAATCTGTCTCTGAACCGCTACTTTCTGAAGGTGGCCCGTTCTCAGGATGAGCCCGGGAAAGGGAGTTTCTGGCGCATCGACTCGGCTTCTGAAAGCAAGCTGGTGGAGCAAGCCTTCAGGAAAAGACGGCAAAGAGGGGTGGCGTGCTTCAGGACACCGTTCGGACCTCTGTCGTCAAGGTGCACTTTGACGTTGTTCACTTGTTGCTGTGGCGCACACATTGATTTGGTTAACACCTTCTCCGTTTTCTCTGCTCTCACTGCCGGCTGTCATTTGATCGGACAGAACAAAGTAAGTCTGGTTGTTTTGCGGTCATGTGATTGAGCTGGAGGTACCTAGAATATGAGCAGCTCCAAGTGTTCAGAGGTCTGTTGGTTATCTGCTTCTTTAATTTGCTGTGTTCAGGAGCGCCCCTGCATCCCCGACCCACCAGGGACTCCTGTCTCCTCCATCCAGTGGTCTGCAGACTCCAGAGTGTYTGAGCAGAGAGGGCTCTCCCATCCCTCATGACCACCACGAACAGCTGGCRAACAAACTGGCATCTGTGCCGGAGTATAGGTACTCCCAGAGTGCCCCAGGTGAGCACGAGTCCATATTCAGTATTTAGAAATGCTGATCTTACATTAGTGTTAAACAGGTGAAATGATTCGACTCTGTCTCTGTCCAGGCTCTCCAGTCAGTGCTCAGCCCGTCATCATGGCTGCTCCTCCTCATCCAACAATCCTGAACTCAGGCCCTGGGAAAACTCTCGCTTTAGTTCCAGGTGGCGGCGGTCAAGTCCAGCCCATCCACCTGCTTCAAAACGCCCCTCAGCCCTCGGTCACCATGGTGAGGGTGGTGACCCACACCCCGCCATCTTCCAACCCTCCAAACGGGTACAGCACTCCTACTGTTGGAGGAGTGGAGAGCAATAACAACATCAGAGGTACAGTTATAGAGTTTTTCATACAGTCATACGTAAACCCAACTAATGCTCAGTCAGTTCCAGCAAACTTATCATTTAGATTTAGGGAAGTTTTTTTAAAGTAACTCTTTAAATGCCTTTTCTTAATGTTGTTCTGCACTTTTTTGAAGTTTGATTAAAGGGATCCCTGATTACATGTTGTAACATTAGACTTTCTTTGATAAACATTTATTTTAACTGTAAAATAAAGACTGTAAAAATACTGTAGGCTGTTTCGTTTTGTAAGTTTTTAAAAATATATTTTAACATGGGCCGAGTCATTTTATTTGCACACAAAGCATTCTGGGTAAATGATGACGTGCTTAGGTCCTCGGTGTGAACGAGCTATATCCACCCTGAAGGTTAATCT